TATCCAAAGTTGGATATTATAGAGCCTTCAAAGTCGGCAATTCCAATAGCACATGAGTTTACTATGAAGATGGCCAAACTTCAAGCAACTATAAAGACTCACCTACAAAGGGCTCAACAATGTTATAAGCTAATGGCAGATGAATTAAAGAAGGAACATCTTCCATTCCAAGTTGGTGACAAAGTGTGGTTTCTTGTACACAATATAAAAACCAATAAGTCATGTGATAAGTTGGACTACCAAAGTTTGAGACCATTTGTTATTCAGAAATAAATTAATAACATAACTTATCACTTAAAATTACCTTCATCCATAAAGATTCATCCAATCTTTTATATTTCACTTTGGGAAAGGTATAAAGAATCAAACATACCAAGTCAAAGACAACCACTACCTCTTATGGTTGAAATCAATGATCATGTTCAATTTAGAATAGAAGAGGTATTAGATTCAAGGATAAGATATGGAAGGCTTGAATATCTGGTCCATTGGCATGGATATGATATCAATGATTGTATGTAGGAACTAGTTGGCAACCTTATAAATGTACAAATCAAGGCTCAAAAGTTTCATTAATAACATCCATGTAGACCAAAAGTAACAAAATAAAAAACAGTAGTTTGAACTCGCCTCAGAATGACTCCTAGAAAGAGTGTTTGTAAGACAATTCCATAATGAAGATACTAAAGTTCATGCTAAGTTAGAAGTAAAAAGCTTGGGACACTATTGATGGCTACAAGGGCCTATGAACTATTTGCCTCATAAAAAACAATTGAAATATATAGGGGACACCATGTAACAAATCTTCAATTTCTTGCACATATACTAATTTGCAGCAACATTTCTTCTCGGAGACCTCAAAGTTAGAGGAGGAAGTGATGTCATGGACATACAACTAAAGAAGGTTTGAGAAGATTTTAGGAGGTTCTAAAAAGTTCTAAGATGATTCTTATAGATCCTAGAAGGTTCCAAAAGGTTCCAGAAGGTTCCAATAGATTCAAAGAAAGTTCTAGAAAGTCATAGGAGATCTTAGAAGCTTCTAGGAGGCTTTAGTTTAAGAAGTTGCCTATGTCTTAATGTAATTGCTTATAATATGTAAAAATTAGTTAAGACATATAATATATTTATAAATCTTGGTTTATGTTAGAATGATTAATAGATTAATTTAAAAAGAGTGGATATAAAAAAACTTTATTTTGAGTTTTATCTATTTTGATTATAGTATTTAAAAAAATTATAGGACCTAAATATTTAATATGAAGCCTTAAGAGGAGATTAGAGCCTAAAGAAGAAAATCTTAACTAGTAGGAGGCTTATTAGGAGGGATAAAAGTAAGGCATGGTTGAATGAAGGCCATGCCAAATGGTAAGGAATGGAGATCTTCATTCCTATTGATTGAAGGCCATGCCAAATGGGCTTCAAGGAGGCTACCTGAGGCCTTAATAGGGATTAGGATTTTTTTTTCAAAGTCATTTGAGCTTTCGAAGCTAGGATAAGTAATTTTAAGGATTTGGATACGGATTGGGTGAAAATTTTGTATGATTTGGAGTTTTAATGAAGGAGTTATTAATGCTCAAAGTTAAAGTGTCAATTTCATATCTACTGTCATTCTTTGGGGCATAACATACGTTTATGGAGAGCAACAAAAGATTGAAAACTAAGATTGGAGAGAATAATTTTTTGACAACACTTTTTATATAATATTTGATGAATTTAGAGTTTGGATGAAGAAGTTATAGATGGTAGAAGTCAGCTCATTCAAATCAAAGGGAACAAGTAAGTGATTTTCTTCATAGTAATAATTAGAGCCATATCTTGAGTTTCTGGACGAATTTTGGACTCAAACCTTCTAAAGAAGGTAGATTATTGTGTTAAAAAGCTATATATAAAAATTTTGTGGCATTTAGATCCTTAGTTTATAAAATATGAAGAAAATTACACACAGATGTATAAAACCTAAGATTTGAAGCTACTATTAGAATTTTGGTGATATCTTAAGATCTGCAATGAATTTGTAGTTGAAATTTGTTTTAATAGTTGTTAAAAGTATATTAGTACTTCATATAAAATTTGAGTGTGTTTAAATGGTCTGATTGAAAGATATGAGTTTTTGAAGTTCAAGAATAATATCACATAAGGATATTAAAGGATTTAGAGGTTTTATCATATTTTGGATATTTTTGGAAACTTAAGACTTACACATTTGGTGTAATAGTATCTAAAAGTATTATATATATATATATATATATATATATATATATATATATATATATACTTGGTCTCCCTTATTTCAAGACTTGATTGAACAATTAATAGCTGTCAAGAGTCCAATGCTTTTTTGGGGCAAATTCTCTCTACCCCGACACTGAAAAAAGATCTTAGACTTGATTTGTTTTCAAGCTTCATGAAGACTTCTCAAGAAGCTTTCTAGGACCTAGTATATATATGAGTCAAGGCAGAGAGGATCCTCAGTCTTGACAATTCACTTCTTGTAGTTTAAACATGACCTTATTGTCTTGTATCCAATTATTATTCTAATATGGAGCTAATTCCATTTCTTGGTCTTGAATCCTTGTCTTATATATAGCTCTTAATACTATTCTTAATGGTAGTTTCTGTATAATTTTGGCATTAAGTAGATAGAGAACCAATAGCCAATGGTTTTAACTCAAAAGCCATCATTTGATGACTTATCCGATAAGACATTGTAATTATCACAACCTTTAAGATGACATAATAGGCATGAAGACCTACAAGAATAACATGTTTTTTTATAAAATAGATGGTGAAATACAACAAGTTTGGTATCACGACTTGGAAAAAGATTCTTGATGTTTGGTGATTTTATTGGAGGTAGGCATGACCTTGATAGTGTTACAAATGTTTTATTTGAAGGAAATTATGAAGGTTTTAACAATGATCAAATCACAAGGTGGTCTCTTTGTCTTCGAATTGGACATTACTAAGAGTTGAGAGGACCTATCAACTATCTTTAAAGAGATCAAAGATCAAAGTACGTGGCAAATACAATTTGTTGCATCTTAGACTTTCTCAACAAATGATCACAATTCCTTGTGGAATTCGTCCCCTAGAAGGAGAGATAATATCATGGATATATATCTATCATAAGTATTATCTAAATAATATGAATAGGTAGAATTGTATAAAAGTGGATTAATTTCATAATATATTCTAAAAAAGCTTCCTAAAAGCTTTTTAGACGTTTTTTTGACTTTACATATATTTGTAGTTGATTGATATGTTAGAAACTTGGTCAACAAGCTATCCATGTCTTATATATATTGATAGCTTATGGAACAAGCTAATTATGTGGCGGTCATATAGAAAACTTACCTTGCAAATCAAGATACATGTCATACAAAGTCAACACATTTGTGGAGGTCCTATAGAACGTCGCCTTATAGATCCTAGATAGATAGTATATATAGAGGCAAGAGTGAAGCCTTCTTCACTCTTGTCAATTCATTTTTTGTTTCTAGTTTAGTTTCAAAAGTCTCTAGTTTCTTTATCTTTTAGCAATATTCATTCCAATTTCTTTTTAATATACATACTTCTTTATTTTTAATTTTTTCACTTTTTTTTTATACAAAATTCCAAGTTTATGCATCTTCTTTCAATTTATGTCCTTGACAACAAATAATAATGAAAAAAAATATATAAATATTTAAGAAAAATATATAGTAGCATTTTACTTTTATATAAGAAAATATTAAAATAATCCATTATTTTACTAAATTGATACATCTTCTCATCACTATGATTAGAAAAAATAGATAATCTCTAAAAACCATGGTTATAATCATGATCATCATCTTAACTCCTCTCATTTACAATCCCGCCTCTTCCATTCTTAGCTTTCTTCATTTGGACTTTCTTCTCCGTCCATTCTCTTCCCTTCATTCCCAATTTTCATCTCTACCTTCCTTGTTTCCTACAATAAAGTGGATCAATTTAGTAAATAAATGGATCATTTTAATATTTTTTATGTATATATATATATATATATATATATATATATAATTAAAAAATCATGATTATTCTTAGAATATTTATATATAATTTTATCTAAATTATTTTTTGAAATATTTATATTTAAAAATATGACATATTATTCATTCTCATATATGTATAATTATATCAGTATTAAAAACCATGTAATAAAAACTAAAAATTGATTCATAGCATAATTTTAGGATAAAAAATCTTCATGAATTATAGCCAATAATTATCAAATTAAATTAAATCAATCAATTCATCAATAAAAAATAAATTAAATTAAAAAATATAGTAATACTTATAGAATTCTTTAAATTTATTATTTATTTTGTATAATGATATAAATATTGAATTATGATTGTTCATTTATTAATCCAATTCTTATTATTATTGTAACCATCAAATCTATCATGTAAGTTTTATGACTTTTTTGTGGGATCAAATGCCAATCATAAATTCAAATAAGAATGAAATAATAAGAATAGATGGTTTAATTTTCAAATACAAGGAAAATATATCTTTAATCCACTATATATTTATTGTAAATTTATTCAAAGATAATTTAATATTTTTTTTAGAAAATATAAGAAATGATAGTTATGTTTGGTTCTATGAATCAAATTATGCAATGCAAACTAAAAATGTTATAATTAAATGGGATCAAAGGCATGAGAGTAATTAGATATATTTTTCATGGTCAGAAATTTTGTTCCCAAGATATCCTTGGCATTTCAACTTTGATTATTTATTTTTTAAAAAAATTAAGTCAAATTGTTGTCAATGTTAATTTTATTCTTGTTATTTGATAAGACTTCAAGGTCACATCCCCTACCACGGTCATCCAATAACTCTAGAGCTAAATAAACTTCACCAGGTCTACAGAATCTACCCAATTTGCTAGATCTACATACCCGTGCCTCCTATAATCGCGGTTCAGCAGAACAGAATTTTCACTATCTACATTCAAGCTGATCGTCATCTACGGCTATAGGTCCTAGGGTTTCGCAGAGATTTTGTTGGAAGTCTGAGCTTTGATTCTTTGCACGTTGTCATGAAATTGATTTGAGCAGAGGACTGAAGTTTGTGGAATTGAAGGAATTTACTACGCCATGGCGGAGGGCGGCAAACCCGACGAAGGCGATGGCGGTGCCAAATCGAACGGGATTGAGCAGGCAGGTGGTATTGTCGTTGTAGCTGGTCCATCGTATGTCGAGCTCGTTGAGTCTCAGGTACTCGCTTTCACAAATGTTTCAATCTGAGGAAATGTTGTGTTATATGTGCTTTTTGAGTGGTTGGAGATTAATTGGAATGTGAAAGTTTTTACATAGTTTTTTCTCACATTTTGCTAGGTTGAAGATCTCCTGTTAATTGCTTATTTTATTTAATCTTGGAAATGTCAATTGCTTCGATCTTGCAACTGTGTTGTAGTAAATTCGGTTTAACGACTCTTTTGAGAAGCAAATATGAGGTCTAGATTGTTGATTTGTGATATGAGTTGTCTCATACGATGTACTGCATGATTAGGAGTCTATTCTTTTGTAGTATACCTACATTGGTTATTAACTTGATCGTGCAATGCCGCGTACTTTTCCATTGGTGAAGTGGTTGTAAAGGTCCTGCTCACCGTGTGTTGAAGTGTTTGCTAAAGACATGATCAAGTATGAGAGAGAGAGAGTAAACATGAGTTGTTGATGACGTCTTTTGTATTTAAATTGTTTGGTGTGCTTGTCTTGATTCCTTGGCTCGTGGCTGTCCCTCTTCCTCGCTCTCTTGATGGCTCTCGCTGGTCATTAATCACGACTAGCAGAAACTTATGTGAACATCACGTTTAAAATAAAATAAATATATTTGATTTGAGTTTGAGATACTGGAGTTGTACATTTGAGTGCCCTGAGTATCTTAAGCTGCAGGGTCGGGTGTCGTTGAATATAGCCATTGTGGTCAATCAAATATCATGATTTTGTTCAGACTTGTCGATTTACTTTTGTTTTAACTAACGACCTTCACTCCTAAGCTGGGATTAGTCAGCGCCAGTTATGTCTTTGCTAAGATTGTGACCTAATCAACAGTTAATCCGGTTGTTTCATAATTTCAGGAGAAATCAGGTCAATCTGAGAAAGGGGAAGAAACAGCTGCTGAGGTAGATTCTGAGAAGACTAGTTTCGCTATTGGCGCACGGGTGGCATGTTTGTCAACCTGGGACAATCTGTATCGTATGTACTTTTTGCTTTCGCCACCACTTATTTTGCCTCTTACTAATCAAGTTCGTGTTTGAGAGCTTCAGTCTTTATGTATTGAGACATGTCCAAGTTATTTTTAAGGCATTTAGTAGAGGTTTGCACTTCAAGGAAACCATGTTAACTTTTTCGTTTCGTGGCCGCAGATTCGGCTGAAGTCGTGGATCGACGAGAGGCAAAAGCAGGGTTTGAATATTATGTTCACTATCTTGAGTGTGAGTACTTAATCACTTATATTCTCTACGTGTTGTTTCGTAAACAACGTACACACAATGTTCATCGTCACACATAATGTCTTGTTTTTAGGCTTTCTCGTAGAACAAGGTTTACATATCATCGTTTCGTATTTGTAACAGTGTAATTTCTATTTTTGCTGCTGCAGATAACAAGAGGTTAGATGAATGGTTACCTAGCACTCGTGTTGAGAAATGGAGACCGGACATTGTACCTCCTTTGAAATCGGCAATGGCCGAGAAACTGTCACCCTTGGTCATGCCAGCATTGCCTGGTCTAGTTGGCCCTGGAGCCGTAGATACACAAAGAGACACTCCAGGGACTGCAGATCGCAAGCTGACTCGTAACTTGAAAAGGCGTTATGATGAAATTCATAATGTTCCCAAGGTATATGACATTTTGCAGAAGAGACCAAGCATTTCCGGGACTTTAGTCTCAATGATTGAACATGGATTCAGTGTCTAAGTTATAGACGTCGGACGGTATTTTTTATCATTAGGATGTTCTCGTAAGTGTTTCAAGTTTAGGAAAGGCTCATTTGCAACCTCCTTGACTGAGTTTATGCAAGTAAATTGTCTTTCAGCCTATGGACGAGTTGGCACCACTTGATCAATCTTTAGAGAAAGAACATGAGGAGAAGACAAAAGTAAAAAATATCCAGGTAAACTATTTATAGTAAAAGAGTTGGTTTTATATGAGCTCACAGCTAGTTCCTCGACAAGCATGGGAAAGACGAATTTGAAGTTGAACGAATATCCAGACTATTCTTTGAATTTTTTTTTTTTTTTTTTTTTTTTTTTTTTGTGGCATTTTTTGGTTTTCCATCTAGCTCATTGTTTTCGTTTTGTAGCTTTGCAAGCGTTGAAATGTTGATCAAACTGTGCGGTTTTATACTTTCCTGTAAATCTATGACTTCACACACTGTAATGTATTTTTCAGGTTTTGTGTAAGTTACATGTTTCATTGGAAAGTCTTTATTAGAAGCTTTTGCTGATTGCTTTTCCTCGAATTTTCCTTAGGATCTGGAGGTGTGTGGTTTTTGGATCCTAAGTTCATGATTTGACAGGTAGTGGAGTTGGGCAAGTATGAGATTGATACCTGGTATGTATTTGCAAGTTTGCCTTAGTAGCCCTGGTTTTGCTTTAACTGGATACGTTACTTTGAAATCTGTTATGGCTCACATATGATAACAATGATAATAATAATAAGGCGTAGAACTACAAATGTATTAGAGCATTGCATGTGAATTTAGAATTGTGTTGGCAACCAAGAAAGCTTTATGATCATGGGCTTGTGCCGATTTTGCACAAGAAGTGTTTTGTATTGATGGGAGGTGTATTTATCTTAACCATTGAACATTGTGACTTAGGAGGGCTTCGTTATTTGCTCAGGTTGCGCGATTTGTACTAATGGTATGCGTTTGCAGGTATTATTCGCCCTATCCTGAAGAATACGCTCACGAACACAAGCTTTACATCTGTGAGTTCTGTCTGAAATACATGAAGAAGAAAAAGAGTGTTGAAAGGCACAAGGTACAGTAGCCTCTTTTTGGGTTGGTGTCATGTATTCACCATATTTTTGTTATATTTATTCTTTAATAGAACCTATTTCATCCTGTCATCCGCCTAAACTTTGTGGAACTTGAAAAGTGCTAGAATATTTAGAGTTATCATGATGAAAATACTGCTCACAAAGCTAGGCGTGAATTTGGCATTGACGTCCAAATTTTGTGTACTCTGTGCAGATAAAATGCGAGCTGAAACAACCTCCAGGAGATGATATTTATAAAATGACTGCACCCTTCCAGGAGAAACTCGCAAATGCTGAGGGGACTGTTGTGGAGGATATACCTACAACTACTGGGACTGATATGTCTCCGCATGGAAAGGCTCAGCAGCTCTCTATGTTTGAAGTCGATGGAAGAAAGAGCAAGATGTATTGTCAGGTAATCATGTTTTGTCTCCACGTGTTGAATGTTCTCTTTGTAACTACCTTCCCAAGCTCGTCTTCGATTTTAGATCAGTGTGCCTTCGACAGAAGAAGACATATAAAATGCAACGGAGGCCAGGTGGTAAACATGATTTATTCTGTCCAGGCGTGGCAATTTTTAGTGGTCACGATCCTACGGGGCCGAGTTGTAGTGATCGTCCGCAGTCTAAGTTCTTGTACCGTGTTGAAACTCTCATAGTTAAGTGGTACGTTGATTTCCAAATGTGAACGATGTTCACTTGTCATGTGGTTATATTTTACTGTCAATTCTGCATAATGTGTTGAATTTTACTTTTTATGAGTGCAGAATTTGTGTCTGCTGGCCAAGCTATTTCTAGACCATAAAACACTATATTACGATGTGGATTCATTCCTATTCTATATATTGACGGAGAACGATGCATTTGGAAGTCATCTGGTTGGTTATTTTTCCAAGGTATAGTGGATGATTTCACTTGACGCTTCTCTTGGAAAGTTGTCTGATTATGTGAGGGATATTTAACCTTTTCCATCTCAGAATGAACATGGATCCTTGGTACCCCCATTTTGCCTGAAAGTTTTGACGATATGTGCACCATGCCGTCCTTTTAATGTTTGAAGGTGAACTAGAAGTTTTCCCAGAAGTCACCGGATACTTCGATGGTTTCTAATGATCTAAAACTTGTTCAACAGGAAAAATACTCTGCAGAAGATTATAATTTAGCATGCATATTGACTTTACCTCCTTTTCAACGTAAAGGGTACGGGCGTTTTCTAATTTCTTTCGGTAAGGTTCTGTGTTGACCTTGTGCAACTGATGTTACCTTTATGTTTATTGATGCTTCATAATTGGAGTCCAGCTTTCTAAACACTCCAAGCATTTTAGGATCTGTCGCTTTTTTAACTTCTAAACACTTGAAAGATGTATTGCTGCAGCTTACGAATTATCTAAAAAAGAAGGCAAAGTTGGAACTCCAGAGCGTCCACTGTCAGATCTTGGCCAGGTTCAGTGCATTTGAACAGTAATCCTACTTAATTGTAGTAAAATTCTTGCGTGCGTGAAGCTTCAGTAACCTCTAATGGTCAAATGTTTTAAATGCGCCTTTCACGCTTTTTGATTCATGATGATGTCTTGGAAATAACGTAGCCTTGTGTTCTCTTCAAATTGTAAAAGCCTGTCAAGCCATATAGTAAATTGTTTGGCAGAGAGAATAGATGCCGCATATTTACATATGATCGTAGCCCTCCAAAGTTCATGATCTGACTTGTTGCCCAAGGTGCGTATTGAGTAGATAGGGTTGGTACTTATCTTATGTTTTGAATCTTCTCAGGTGAGTTTTAGGAGTTATTGGACTCGTGTACTATTAGAAATTCTCCGTGATCACCACAATGTCTCCATTAAGGTAAAGTTAAATCTTGAAGCTGAAGATGTCCGACTTAACATCCAATTGATTGCTGAAGTGCAAGGAGTTGGATGGCTTTCAAGATGTAATTCTTTTTTGATTATTTCTAGCTTTTGAGCTTGTAGTTTGGAGCCGCAGGACCTCACTGCTATGACTTCCATACGATATGAAGACGTCGTCACCACCTTGCAGACTTTGAACTTGATCAAGTGAGTTTTTAATTTAGACAAATTTGGAAAACTGCATTATGATTTTGGTGAATTATCACTTGAAAGTCATTTAGTCAAACCACCTGCATCGCTTGCCAGTATGCCAATATTCAGCTTCCAAATGGTTTTGATTGTACTTCTCGAATTCACTGAAGTCCTCCCTCGTCTGCTTTGAGGTCAGATTTTGGTGTGCTTCATATTCGATGTTTATTAGAGTTGGATCGCTGACATGTGATATTGCTGTTAGGTACTGGAAAGGACAATATATTATTTCTGTCACTGCTAAGCATATCGATGAACACCTTAAGGTATTTTATTGTCTGTTATGTCTTCGAACTTCCTGGATTTGAAGGTCATGCTATTTGCAAATAGTTCGTGTCCTCTGAACCACTGGCAGTTTTGCACGAGCTGATGGCATATTGAAGTATAAGTACCATTATTTGTGTGGCTAGTGAAAAGTCTTCAGTGAATTGTTACGTCATAGATATCGATTGTCATGCCAACGGTGTATAAAACTCGCATTATGATATGCATGAAATTGTGTATTCTTTATGCTAAAGTTAAAAGAATGATCATGGATTGCATTTCTCACGCAACTTTCACTGACCTCTTCGTGTGAATACTGTGAACACAGACTCTGAGCTCACAGCCAAACTGGTCAATCGATGCAAGCAAAATTCAATGGACCCCAGGAATCACTCCTCCCATACGACGGCCGAAGTAGATCTTACAATCGACATCAGGATTCTGCTCACGCCAGCCTTTATAAATACTTTTTTAAAGTGCTGAGCTCATGGTACTGAAGTTGCAATCCATTGGTCGACAATGTGGGTGGAAAAGTTTTTGTCCTCTTCCTTGGTCCACCTCATGGCGCCAAAGCCACATCATCAATATTGTGGTTATCCTCATGCATGATTTAAGGATCTTTTATGTCCTTCGTTGCCAAACGATAATTGTGGCTCATAAGGATTCACCAAACTCGCCAAGATCTTGAAGGTTTATTATGACTATTATTGTTATGTTTGAAGCATTATTTTTGGCAAGTGATCTCGCAATTAACTTGTAACTTCAAGGATTATGTTGAGCATTACCTGAAAGCTCATAAAATAAAATAAAAAATTGAAAGAGTTTTCAAAATGTACGTATCAACTGCTCAAAGATTCTCTTACATGTCGATAGTGGTAACAAACGACCTCACAAATGTTACAGAAATATCTGCCACCTCACTAAGGTATCTTACTTCTACATACTTAAAAGTACATTATGTAACAGTTTGTATTTCTAAAACCAAAAGTCTCAATTACTACTTAGTACTATGTTTTGAAAGAGGAATTAGTTTCTAAACTAATTAATTTAAAATTTGAAAATATGTGTAAATATGTGCCACCCCCACTGACTCTGCTTCTGTGAAGATTTCATGTTCCTACCGCCCAAATGTGTCCATGTCATCAGCTTGGACTTTTGATTGAGTTTGCTGAGTCATTAACAGGGGTGGGGATTGGACTGGTGATAGTGGGCATCTATGTGAGTGTCTTCCACCCATCCAACAATAAATTTTGATTCCATGCTATCCTTGCTGACTATTCGAAGACTTACACGTCTGGCATCAGACCAATGGATAGTTTCTGATGTACCTCCCACTTGAATGAATGAATGATTTGTTGAAACATATCGTGAGCATTGATCCCAAATATTAAAAAATTACACTCTATGTTCTAAACTTAAGGACTGAAACAGTACCAAATTGTAAGCTGAATTGCTAAAATAAATTCTTTCAATGTCTTTTCTTTGCTTAAGAAAGTTGGGTTTTAAAGGTTATATTTCTAGAAATCATCTTTATATATATATATATATATATATATTGAAATGTTAAATAGGTCTAAATTATTACTAAGTTGATCTATTTATGATAAAGACATGGTAATCATGATGAATGTGGTTGATTTTCATTGATTTTGGATCCAATAGTGGAGAAATGAATCTAGATGTCATCATAATGATTAGGATGGGCGGATCAATTTGATAAAAGTCTGGGTCTATTTAACATTCCCCTATCTATCTATTTCAAACTAGAAAGCAGGTAATGAACCCCTCAAAGGACCAGCAATAAATGAGAGCCAGGACTGACTGGGGGTGACTGTGCCTTTACTGACGAGTGAAGGAATTGGCGAGATCTACCACATATCTCACTCACTCACTGTAACACAGCAAAGTCAAGGGAGGTGGGTCTGTGAAGAAGCCCTTCAAAGCCACATACAGAGTGGAGGACCCCACCCACCTTGACATGAGGAGCTTTGGCTAACAAAGAAGACACCTGCCTGGACCATGAATGGACCACAGCACAGCCCCGCATGAAGAAGGAGGAGATTACATCGACAGCAGCAGCCATAGATTTGCCCCAAGGCTGACTGTGCATCCTCACCATCCTACGTTGCACACAATTCCAGATAATCGGTGCACACTCAGCCTTCCTTCCTTTCCTTTGGCTGACGTGGTAGACTGGTACCATGTGTTGGGACCACTCGGCGCCGCGCGGTGTCGAAACTCTCGCTTTCTAGGTGACTGTCACTGCGACTCCCTCATATACGACGCACCATTTGGTCGTCATCTCGGCCTCTTGTCTTTGTCTTGTGTTTTTCTACTAAGCAACTGCAGAATTTCGCCAGCTTTCCTTATTGACCAGTAGTAGCTTGTGAAACGGCGTTTTGAGAGCTTGTGGAGTGTTTATATGAGTTTATACCGCTTGCAAGTCCTTCAGCAGGAGCTCAATTTTTAGGCAGTTTTTTTGAAGCTTGGAGATTGAACCTGACGGAAGATTAGTCTTTGGTAATCTGGGATGCAGCAGGATCGAGAATTTATGAGATCGTGATTGTGTTGCAAGTGGCTGATTGAGTAAGTGGGAGGTCCGTTATGAATTGTGCATGTGGAGGGAGTAGTAGTGTCTTGGAGGTTTCTAGATTTTGAGCTGAGGTGTCGATGCGCTGCTAAATGGAGTTCTCCGTAGCTTGGAATCTGAAGCTGTCGTGATGCTACTTTGTTTCGTAGATTTTTCCCGCTTGGATTTTCTTTGAAAGAGACCATTTCAATTGAGAAATATGTCGCTCTTGATCGCCAGCCTTCGGGCTCCAGCAGCTCCGGCGGCTTCGCTCCAAAACGAGTCGTTAGCTTCTTCGTCTGGATATTGTGTATCCCCCAAAGTTGCACAGCGTGCCACGCTGTTTCGAAGACATTCCCACGAGCCTGCGTCGAAACAGTTGGCGCAGCCGACATGCTATTACTTCGATAGAATTTCAAGGTGAGTCTCAAGGATGACATCTGCCCCGATGCTTTCCATGCAGCGTTATACGCTGCACACGTTTTCCAATGATCTGCAAGGCCGATGTTAGCGTTGTCGATGAAGCACTTCGATGAAACCACCTCAAGGCTTCTGTGTAGATTTCCATGATCCAGGGGCTAGATTTTATGTTTGATTGAAAGGACCCAGAATTGCAGAACTGGTTTCAAAGGGCACCATGTTTAATTTACGCTCCAGTACCTGTTTTTAAGTAGAAGAACTTCAATAATTTGTGGGAGAGTGTATTCCTTTGCGTTCGGAGACGTACAATCATGGCTATAGCTAACGTTCAACACTGTATGAGACGAATATTTTGGATCCGGAGCGGGTTTCCAACTACGAGGGCGTGATTTCTCTTTGGGTTTTTAACAGGGTGATGAAAACTGGGGGCTGGCCATCAGGATTTAAACGTGCATTTGCTGCATGTTTTATCATTCTGTTGGTCACGGTTCTTTATCGGAATTCCATGTGTCCGATGTCAATGCTTATCCACAGGCAATCTTCTCGTTCACCGTCGCTGTTACTTTAATATTCATGATCATGATGCTCTGAGGGTGTCCACATGTTAGAGCCCACCAGCATGACCCGTGATTGCGCTTCTACCTCAGATGTGTGTTACTATTTTTTTGACTTGTTTGAAACCCTCATTGAATTTGATGCACATGTATCAGAATGGAAGTTCTGGTGGGCTTTAGTGCAATTTTGTTTCCCAGTTCTAAGAAGAGAGAGAGCTTTGCTTTAATCTAACTGAAGTCATTCAATTTGTCGACTATCAGTTTGATGAGGTATCGTATGCCAGCCTGAAACTGGATTTTTAAGGTCCCAACTGATAGTTGACGACGTCATAAGATTTGAAAATGGCTGAAGGAGTTGTATGATGCTTTGTCATGTGATGTAGGATAAAGGCGTCTAGAATGCAAGCTGAGCACTCACTACGAAGTGTTCCTGTGCAAGTTGCCCATGAGATGATGAATGCAGGTCACCGCTGCTTGGATGTCAGGTTAGCTTCTTCGGTTTGAGTAGATTTAAAAAATTGAAATCAATATTCTTTTTTCTTTTCCTTTTTTGTAAATATTTCTGTTAGGAAGCATGGTATTATTTTATTTTATTTTTCTTCTGATATCAGTCAGTCATTCCGGATTTGTTGGTGATGTAATGAAGTTAATTCTTACAGTATTTGGCGTGTTCAGGACTCAAGAAGAATACCTCGCTGGACATGTTGAGGGTGCTATTAATATTCCATATCTTGTAAAATGTGGGCCTGGTAAGTAATCCTTCTCCAGACCTAACGGAATATTATCCAAAAATATGACTTTTATGGAAACTAGTTCAGTGTCATGTTTTGATGGGGATCACCGTGAATGTTTCTTTGAAGGGACTGCGGTGGAAGAGACAAGATGTCAATTACGATTGACGACGTTTAGCTTTCCTTTAATGTTCCAAAACCTAGAATGACAAAAAAAAATTGTGCAGCAGCGTTATTGGTTGTGCAACAAATAATTCCTAATTATAATTGCCTTCCAGCTTGAGATATAGGATCTATTTGGGCAACGTGTGCTAATGAATGTCCTTTTTGTTATTTTGGGTAACAGGCATGAAAAAAAATCACCGATTTTTGGAGGAGGTGGAGGCAGAGTTTGGCAAAGACGCCGAGATAATTGTGGTGAGTACCATTGTTTGAATCATATTACTTATTGGAATCAAGCAACGATCCTTGTCCTCACGGTGGAGTTGGCAATTATTTTCACGTTTTGAATAGAATGATCTGGTGTTGGGAATTGCTTCAAGATAGAAAAATTGATCACTCTTGTCTAGTCAGCCACAAAGATTCTTGGCATGACAACTTGATTGTGTTGGCCATTTCTGCATTTCCTGTGAGATTTTGCTGTCATCAACTTATTTTCTCAGAAAAGAGAATATCGTCGTTACATGTCATAATTGCTAAGTGAGCATATCTTGTCAGAAATTTTGATAGACGCATGGATATTGGAATTGCAGGGTTGTCAGAGTGGCCGCCGATCGATGATGGCTGCAGCTGAACTTCAAGCTGCAGTGCGTGGCTCAAACCCAACCTTTCTAGATGCACATACATGTTAAAAATACTTCAACAGTTCTTCGTGAAAGATTGGGTGTTAGATCATTTAAGTTAGTCCTGCTTCTTGATTCGAAGTGCAATCAGAGAACACCTTTGCTGTAGCTTGCCAAGTGGTTATATGAGAGTATGTGAACAGCTGGGTGAGTTGGATGCAACTGTTATTCACACTGGATCTTTGGTTGCAGAACTTCAATGGTGTTACTGATATGGGAGGAGGCTACGTTGCCTGGAAGGAAAGTGGTCTTCCCGTTGAAGTCAGTGGTCGTAGAACTCAAAGTCATTCTGTATAGTCAACAGCCTCTGCTGCTACTTTCTAGAGTTGTTGATCTGAGCAGCTGTGCATAGTTTTCAGCGTATTAGCACACTTGTATACTGTAGTTGGTTTTATTTTTATTTTTCAATAAGAAAACCGTATAAATGTTTAAAAAATTACACTTTATTTAACGTAGGAGGTGGAGGAATCACGTCGGCACCAGAGAACTTTGAACATCTGAAGCGTAGTCGACATTCTTGAAGTAGCGTGAAGTTCATATTTAATAGACTCGTTGCAGGCGACACTGAAAATAGGTATTGATCAGCAGCCTGAAGAGTGTCATCCATTTCTGAGGCCAATTTGAGAACCTCAAACTTATTTAATCCAAGATCTGGAGACAGCTTTGACGCTCTAAACTTCTGGCGAATTCCTGAAATCTGGATATTGGGTTGATTTCTGCTAGTTGCTGGCAAGTTTTCAAACATCCGCACATGTGCATTTACGCAATATATTTGATGCTGATTACAAAAGTTCCCACCCATCGCAGATCTCACAATGCGCATCGTAACGAGAAGCAAGGATAGATGGGTTTGTAATGCACGATTTCTAAATACATAAAGAAAGAATTCAGACAGATGAGAAGATTTTTCTGCCACTTGTACAATCGACTTCTCGTCGCTCACGATTCGTAATAGTCTGTCCTTAATCACTTGACATGACTTGGAGCTAACATCCCACTCAGCTTCTCTCAATTAGAGTTTTTGAATGGTACTACTTGGAAATGATCACGAGTGCGAACAAGTCCATCCTCTCGCTAGCAAAGGAGCTACACAATTCTGCATGTTGAGGTCCTCATGGTTCATTTCCCACCGGTGCTATGTACTTGGTGACGGAGCCCCGATCTGGTCACATTGAATACATATGAGATGACCGTCAGTGGCGCAACCAGTAATTACACTCTTACCAAAAACGTGTTCGTCACTCATACTTAAGATGGGGATGTCAATTGAAGAGATTACAGGCGCGTGCGCTTAACTCCAGCACCGAGGGGAGTTTCACCAAAACCGTGGGGAATGTCTCTCGCCAAGTCTGTCATTTGGAATATACGGTCTGAAGTGGACGTCCTCATTCCTAAAATGCAGTTCGGCGGCTTGGCACAGGGATATGTGTCAAAGATTCATTTGACTCCTTGAACTCCGAACTATTCCTGACAGTCAGACAGCAGGCCTGTGTCATTTTCCTCAAGCTGCAGCATTTGCTGTTACTACAGGACTGAACTGCAGAGTCACCATTCTAGAAAGGAGCTCCTCCAGTTGATTCACCAAAGTGTAGCTAGACCAAGGACAACGACGGGCGGAGGGCCAATGACAAGATCCAGACTGTTCCACTGCACTCAGTTGAAGTACAATGCGGACTGCTGCGCTTAACAGTGACAAACCTGCACAATATCAAACGCTAGCTACATGCACAGAGAACAGGCCAGTAGATTGGGCTGTTAGTGAAAGTAGATTCTTGTTCCAGCAGCCAGACTTCTAATAAATGTGGATGCCGGGAACTAATGGGAAATTTAACTTCTACTTATTAGGTGGTATTGATTCAATACAGCAATCAGTAGTATCGAGATGGTGTACACCCCGAATATTTCTGATGAGCATGAATTACGTGTAGTTACTCTCAACCTTGGGTTTTCAATAGGCCAGCTTATGAGCTATTGAACATGATAGACCCCGACTGATTGGTGAGTTCTGGATACCCAATTTATAACTTCTGATTTACGTACAGCATCGATCTACTAGATGCAGCACCTGTTTCCACTCAACTCCATAAAAACAGAATGCGTGTGCACAACTAGTCCCTCTAATTTTTCGGTTGTCCTCTTAGCTTGCCTGAAGTTCTCTTCTAAAGCTGTAGCATTTCGTTAGAAACAAGCTACACATTTTGCAGTGAATCAAAGAACTGGCGAAAAACAAAACTGCAAGCACCAATCAATCAAAATTAAGTGTACACACATAGCTCTGCACGATGATGCGATCCGAGGACACGAGTTAATCTTTAGAGTAACAAAAAGAAATTTCAAATATTTTTACATAAGTAGAACCCCTTCCTGTTTCGCATGACCAAGGATCTCTCCACATGTTCTGTACATGACACAAATTAATTGTATCATTTTGTTGCTCAGCTCACATAGAAAAGGTATCTACTAACCCTTGATGAATCTATGTCAGCCAGTATTTACGCTCACCAGAGCACAGACCGAAGGATATTCAGCAATAGCTAATACAATTTCAGACCCCTGTACAATGTCTAGTTAACTTCCGGTTCCAAAATACACTGGTATAAATCTAATTTGAGCTACTTTCGGAATCATTTCATGATATCATCGAAGGAATGACAGTGTCCGACCCTTCGGCCTGACCAGTTACAAGAGACTGGCAATTTACCACCTCCATATTCCTAAAAGAATCTGATGAATGGTCTCTGCTACCCAGGTTCATCGTCGGGTGACTTGGCTGGAGGGTTCTGCAAAGTAGAGGTCGCTGGGACACCTTTATTAAAACTTACATGTCTAGAAATGCTCTTCCGTGCTTTCCATTTTGACAATGGATCACTTTGGTCTTTAGTATCAGAAGCGACTGATACCACCGCTTGTGCCTCTACGGTTTGAGCTGATTCCTTGAATGATTGTTTTCTCACGTATGATTTCTGATCAAACATTGGGTTGTTGGAAGTTACTTTTTGGTCAGCATCTCCACTTTTAGTTAACACGGTATTCAAGAGAATTGGTCGAGCTTGGGATCCATCAGAACTTACAGGGCGTGATTCGCTATCATCTACAGTGCGTTGCATTGATCGCAAAGGTGTAGCAAGGCGTCCACCGTGATGAGCTACCACTTTCAAGAGGTCTAGAAGTATTACTTCCTGCACAAAACCAACCACATTAATTTGACAGAACGTGGTCTTTTCTCTCAAGGCAATGTGCATCAGAGTTGCTATGAATGCATTTGGACACGGATTCGTGGACAGTGGCACTGGCAGTGTGTTCGTACTGACAAAAGAAGATCGAAATTCCCAGGATTGGCACCATAAATCCACATCACTATACTTTCACACAAATAGTTTCGTTTTCATAAAAAGGGGGAACATCTGAAAATTCAATTTTTTTTTAAAATAGTGCAAGATAAATGCTCGATCGGCAACAGCTCAGCAAGCAAATTTGATGCGAAATTGAGACCTACACCTATACAGACTCTGCCATCAAGTAGCATGTGAACTTTACCTTGACACGGAGATACTCTTCAAATCGGGAAGTCTTAACAAAGCATGATACTATAATCTGCAGGCCCAGAATAACAACACTTAGTCCAAACTTCGAATTTCAGTATCTGTTAAAATACTGCAAAATTAACTTAAAAAGACTTGATAGATCTAGGATGCACAAATACATTTTTCAGCAACATCCTTTTTGTCAGAATCTCACAGCCCAAAATAAAATGAAGGAAGCTGACCATCAGGGCCAAATTTTGGGAATTAATGTGATCAAAAAAGACTCGCCGATGCAGCCGCTTCTGCTCTATTTCGGGATGGTTTGCCAACACTTTCCTCATGTCTGCGACAATGTTCTGCACAGAGGTGGAGTCCACTGTAATCAATCTTTGTATTCAAAATCTGTTGTTTATGAATGGCTTCAAATTGACAGGGCGATAATAATCTCTTGCATTTTCAGTTACACAGGTGTCTAAAAGCATTAACATCTCATTGTTCCTATGTTTTTTCCATCACTTCAGTTCACTATACCGCTGCTAAAGCATTATACTGTTAAGGTAGTTTTTCTACACTTGATAAGAGCAGAAGCTAATATGCTAGGCTTACACTGATCTTCTGCACGTCGCGATGATTGATCCCTATGTGTGTCTTGATACGCCAGTGTGTTTTTTGTGTGAAATTTCTAACAACGCTAACACTGAATTTGTGGTTCGGAACAAGTACTGCCTCACGTTCGGATCCTCGAATAACAGTTGGTGACCACCACCCAACACGCTGCATTGCACACAGTTGGTGAGCAGACGATGTATCACAAGTACATAAACTGGAGGTATATTCGATAACATCAATGCAAGCAAATCAAATGAAAGAATTAGAAAACATAACAACCTAGCAGATGACACAAGGAAGCACAACCAACTATGGCGTTGTAGCAAGCACATTCTAGACATTTTAATACGTCGGAACAGACATCGAACTCTAATTCTACCATGTTAAGAAAGAAGAAATAGTACAGGAAAAAAGGATCACTGGGTACGTTTTCTGTGAAGAAATACCTCGACGGTCCCTACGACTTCTTGACCTTCAATTTTCGTCTGAATCCACTCACTCTCCACAAAGGGCTTTGTTACATGAATCATCATGCTGGATAAAAAATTCGTGAAAATCTGGATTACAACAGCAATCCATTTGTGAATCAGGGACAATGTGAAATCTGTTGCACATTGTAATCATAGAATGACTGATGTGACAGACATGCTTACTCACCATACTCATTTTTCACAATTTATTAATAATCAAATAAACAAATAAACTTTTTAATCAATCCTAAAAGTTCAAAATTAAAATCATGAAATAACAAATTTCACGAGAGTTTAGAGTGGCAGAAGAGTGGTATATCAACTGAATTACCTCTCGACCAGCAAGGGTTAACAGAACTGTTCCCACGCCTCCAGCTGCAAGCCATTTGTGGGTGGAAAACCCAAGAAGCTCCAAAAATAGACAAACGGCTGCCACCCACACTGATGTGGAAACAGCATTGCCGACGAAAGTTAAACTCATCTGCATTGGTAAGGTAACCTGTTCATGTCAGACAAAGCAGACCCCATAATTCCAAAATGCACACAGGTAGCTAAATGTCGAATGTAATAATCTAGGAGTAGAAAATTCTATGAAGATGAAAAAACAGCACTCGCAGAAGTGGAGGTAAGAATTGTTGATGTGCACATACACTGCGGGAGTCTTTGAGACTGGTGCGCTTCATTAGATACTTCTGTACATGCTGTATCAAACTGTAGGAAATTTAGTCCTAACAAAATATGAAGATGCGACGAAGTATATGAACCACATATCAGAGAAAAATAACCTACAAAACTACGAATTTCAGAGTACTTGCCTGCCCGCACATAAAGCGAATACCGTTACTGTCGCTAGCGATCGCATGAAGTGGATGAATCGCAGCTTAATTACAGTGCTCGCCTCTGATGCCAGCTCAACTGAATCTAGTGCCCTGTAAAACAACACACATGCAGAGAAATGTTAAGAGATTGATCCCCATATACTATGCAGTAATACGATGGCCTCAAAACTCATCACACATTCTCTCATCTGCGATCTATACTATTTGCCATTCACATTCATTACCAAGTATTACACTTAACGACTTCGAACTAGTCTCAAGGACCATGATCTTTCCAGGTTTATGTACGATGTTTGGAGGAAGAATGCTACATGTCACAATCTTGCCTGTGGTGAAAATAGCTGCACTCAAATCGTGGACCATTTTAGGACCATCCTTAAAATACGCAGAGAATGAGAATTGGCAAAAGAGGGTATGACTATGAGAAGAGGAAACACAAACCTGCACATCATGATGATTCCTGTCCACAATACTATTGGCCGGATGTATGTCGTCAAGACTGTCCGCGTTTGACTTGTTTCCCAATTATCATCTTTCTGCATTCCAGGTCGCTGTAGATATCACAAACCTAATACACAGCATTTGGCTTTTCGTATGTAACCTCGATGCAACATTTTGCATAAATGCAGGTTCAATGCTGAAGGCCTAATAGTTTGAAAATCCAAAACCTCCATCATCACGAATCAAATGTCGAGCAGTTGTGATTGTACCTTCGTAATCAATGTCCAGAATAGACGAACAAAAGGAACCAGACCCAACAAAGCAAACACCCACAACCCGACAGATGCCACGTATAGTCGTAGCACGGGCGGCAATGTTTGGACACCGCTACATATCCTATCAATCCGAACCCAACATTGCAGTTAAAGAAGGTCATGTAGTCAATCAAAGCATACTTTCTTGTTAAATTTCATTATTGCATATAAGTTTCTACTAAGAAAAGCAGGGAAAAAGTAGCACAACATTCATCTAGTCCTTGCTTTTGAAGCCTCAAAACCCCATTATGATGTGGCAAATAACCATAAGAATATCAATGCACATGCATCAAATTGAACCACAATCTACATGTACAAGTGCACTAAGTCGAGACCAAGTGGCTGAGGCGCTTTACACGCGGTTCTTGCCATGAGTTCGTACCTGCCGATGAGGAGAGGTGTGCAACTGAGCACCGGCACTACAAAGCGTTGAGCAGTATAAGTAGATGTTACTATTGCACGTGTAGTTAATGAAGCTGACGCCTTCGTTCCAAGACTGACCCTTGCAACTGAGCCCAGGAATATTCTCGACCCAATTGGGAATGAATTTAGTCTTAATGTCAACGCATTCTGCAACACGAACCGAGGCAATAGGCAAAATTATTCCCATTTGAGAAGCAATGCTCTGTAGCAACTTAAATTGCTAACCCACTCCAATTATTAGAATTCGGCCAGTAATTGGAGAGACCCGCGCCACCTTACAGAAAGGAAAATCCAATAATGTTGCAGTGGCAGCAGCAGCAGTAGCTCCTAAAACGATACTGTTCTTTTTCTACATCATCCGCATACGGAGATAGACTAACAAATTGAAAGCAGACTAGTGCAATAAAAACCCAAAGAACACCCCCATTTTGTAAGTTCCTGCGTTTTAAGCACAGACACACACCAGACGTATCAAACCACTCGTCGAACTCCCGAGCCAAGACGCAGACTGTTGAGCTCGCAGCAACAACGGTTTCTGCGAATAATCCGAAACCTCCACCGTTATTAATCAGACAACAGAACTCAACTGTCCTAAATAGCACACAAGCCCGGTTAACATTACAGTATCATGTAAGATTCAAACCCAAACCGCAAATTCATCACCCTTCCCAACAGTCCAACGCCCCAAGCACGAAGTTAAGCCACACACCGAGCTGCCGGCAGAACATGGCACATGCCAACAACGGAGCTGCGAGGTCGCCATAACCCTCAATTCGTCTTCACGACATCAAATCAAATTAGAAACCACAAGCCCCAAAAAATTCATCAACCGCCGCGTCATGGAAGTATGGTAGCTCATGAGCTCCTGCGAAAAACTGAAAGAATTCATGTATCCCAACTGAGAACTAGGAAATAAATGAAAAGAAAAGAAAAACCCACAACCCACAAAATGCAGCGACGTCGACGCGATCTGACTGTACAAAAACAACGAAGCCCGGCAACAGCACACCACACTTCCGAAAGCAGAATGAAGGACGAATGGGCGGGTGGGCGCGAAAAGGGGGATTTCTGCCAAGTGGAGAAGAGACAGCCCAGCAAAGCCCGAGATGCCCTGAACGTGGTTACTTTAATTCTGGGGTCTCAATCATCATCCCCGTTACCACAACATCCCAGGCTCCGAAAAGCATCCAAACAACACGCGCACACACTCACTCACACACTCAGATAGGGCATCATCAGCATCCTCCTCCTCCTGGACTACAGTACTGCTCCCCTACCCCTACCCCCTCACCCGCCTCTGTTACCCTATTACCTCCCGTAAAGCTGTAAAGGGACACTAGAAAAAGACTTGGGGGATTAATCTGTGGAGGTGAGCTGGAAGAAAGTGCGGCTGCGGGGGGGGGGGTCCTTCCACCCCTTTCCTCTTTCCCCTCCCTCGTTCCCAGTCATGCAGCGCAGCCGGGGGATGTTTCTGCCAGAAGCCTTGTGCCAGGTGGAATCCCCCTCCCTCCTCGCCCCCCTTTGCTATTCTGGGCTATTCTGTCTTCTTTTTCTTCCGTCTACTTCTTCTTCTACTGCATGATCGAGTGGCACCAAACGGGCAGCACGACTTCTACCACCACTACGACGACCACCACTACTGTGCCATGCTGCTGCTGCTGGCACAATAGTAGTAGAAGACGATGAGACAGAGAGGAGGAGGAGTACCCCCCCTCTCATTTCTTTCTTTTTTGTTTCTTTTTATATTTGTATCTCAGTGCTCATGGCTAGCTCGGGCTCTGATTCCCCGGATGACGGCGCTTCTGATCTGTCCCTCCCTCCCTCCCTGTGAAAAGCAAAGCAGAGCAAAGGGATCATCGTTACTAGTGAGTGAGTGAGTGAGTGAGTGAGTCGCGCACACACTGACTGACTGACTGACTGACTGACTGGGTGGGTGGGTGGGTGTGGTGACCGGCGATAATACAGAATTTCGGGGCTCTTCCCTCCTCCTCTGGGGAAGTCTGCGACGGGCCGGACCGGGTGGGGAGCGAGGGCAGCGGTGGGGGGGGGTGTCTCTCTCTCCTGACACTACCGTTGCCTGCCTGACTGCCTGCCTGGGGAAGAACCCACGTCACCCTCCCTCCCCCCCCCTTCTCCCCCATTCATTCATTCATTCATTTCTCCACAGTCTTTCTTCCGCTTCTTAAGCACCATTGTGGAGTTTGGTGGTTAATCAATGTTTCTATTTGCATGTGCGTACTACATTGTGCTGTTTACCAACACTAGTATGTATTACAATTTCATACACTACTACATGGTAGAGAGAGTGTATTAGAAATCTAAGAAGGAAAATGGACAAGTTGGTAAGGATTGTAATTGCAATGGATTGACTTAAGTAGTGTACATTGTGTCAAAAAACCAATCATTTGTACCATGTTTCTTGTTTTTATACAATTTATAATATATTTTCATAATATGTGTTATTTTTATAAATAAAAAATATACATTTTTAATTTAATTCCAATTATTGTTTCTTACCAAAAATTATTTCCATTGTCTTGTCTTTTAGTTTGTTTGTTGTCTTTTCCTATTTTTATCCACTCTAGTGTATTATGTAGTGACCATTAAAGCTTTACAAACAAAGTGCATGTAAAAATAACTTTACATCTTTGCCTCCATAACTTTACATTGTCGGTATTGATTTAGTAATACAATCCTATTTTCATGGATTTATAAAATGTCTTGTATGTTGTATTCAAAGTACATGTGTTTCAATATATTTTATGCATTAGTAGATCATGTTACAAGTACTGTTTTCAACATTTGGCACCTTTTTTAATTTTTTTTTACACATATTTTTATCATGTTCAGAAACAAAAAAATTGACATTATCATCAATTAATTGTATTACTATTTTTTTAATTATTATCTGATGTTGCACTTATTGTAAAAATGAGGTACACATGAGTGTATGGGCACCTATGATTATGACACTATTTAAACATTTATTTCTCTCATTGACCTTGAATTATTTCTTCTTACACATTTACTAATCTCAATCTGTATGTATACTAACAATATTATTTTTGTTTTCTCTAAATTTCTTCATTAAAGAATGAGAATGAGCTTTCATGATTTTAAAATGTAGTTTGGTACCAAAAAATTAGTTTTATTTTATTTTTATTTAATGTAATTAGTATAGATAGAAAAAATACTTAACTTAATTTAACGATGGATATTTATTTTATTATTCATGATCAATACTTTATTTAAAATTATCTTTAATTTTTTCTACAACAGTCAAAAAAACTTGATGTAGTCAAGGATATTATACTTTTTGTTATCTGTTTCTATAAAATCTTACAAAAAACAAAGTTTTGTAATTTAAAGCATTACATTCTAATTCATATTTTACATCTAAATAAATAAATAATTTCATATTGAAAAAATGAAAAGAAATTATAAAGACAATGTATTGTAGAAAAAATATGAATATATATATATATAGGGGACATGTAAATTTATATATATATATATATATATATATATATACATATATATATACATATTTATATTATCCAAAAAATTCGTATATATTGCAATTTGTGCACTATACTTGTACAAAATTACCATACTAAAAAATAAAAGAAATGCAAGCAATGCTAATTTATATGATTAAAAATAATCTATATTCATGTTCACAAATAAGAACATATAAAGTTATATAAAACACTAATTTTAATATTTATCAGTGTAACAAGTTTATATATATTTTTGTAATTTATTTTAAATCAATCATAATATTTTCTATATCACAATTTTTTTAAAATAATAAATTGTAATATATAAATGTAAGAAGATATCTTCAAAATATCTAAAAATCTTCCTCAATCCATTAAATACATGGGAAAAAAAAAAAAAAAAATTAAAAAAAAAAAAAACTCTTTGAATATTTTATATGATTATGAATAATATATATGATATATCAAACAAGGCTTCACTCTTGTTTCTATATATACTGCTTAACTAGGGAATACATGGCAGCATGCTATATGATCTCTAATACATGTCCAACTTAGAGGACACATGTCTAATTTGAAAGGCAAGTTTCATAGGTGTGCGCCATATGTCCAACTTGTACTATAAGTGGTTAACTTGTCAATACGTGGCTTCCTTGTTGGCTAAGTTTTCAACCTACCAATCACCTATAGACATGTATAAAGGCAAAGCAACATCTATGAAGCTTCTAGGAAGCTTTCTACAAATTATTATCATATTTATTTACTTTTACTTATCACTACCTATTCTTATTATCTAAATAATTATGAGAATAAATATGTATGTCCGTATTATTATCCCTTTTTTAGTAAGGAATTCCATGAAGAACGATGATTATATGTAGATGAAATCCAAGATGCATTGAATTATATTTGCCACATATTTTGATCTTTCTTCCCTTCAAAGGTAGTTGATAGGTCCCTTCAATCATTAATAATGTCTCATACCAAGGCAAAAAGACCACCCTAATATTTGATCATTATTGAGGCCTTCATAATTTCTTTCAAGCAAAACATTAGTAATACCATCATGAGTGGTTCCTATCTCCAAAAGTATCATTAAACATTAGAAGTTCCTTCTAAGGTCATGGTATCAAATGCGTTGTATCTCACCATCTATTCGAGGAAGAACATGTCATTCTTGAAGATCTTTATCTTGATTTTGATGTCTCGAAGGTTGTGATAGTAGCAATGTCTCATTTGGTAGCTTAACAAATGATAGCTCTTGAATTGAATCTACTGTTTGTTGGTTCTCCATCTCCTAAGCACTAAAAAGTCCAAAGAAACAATAATATAAGTTAGAATGAAATCTCTATTGGGCTTGCTTTACTTTACAGCAAAGAATTTCTTGATTCTTGATCTTGATTTTGATGGATGTCGTTGATGAAAAGCTTTAATTTTGGCTTATGCATTTATTAGATTCCTAGATGGCTCCTATGTACATTCATTAATGTCATATCCACGCCAATGTACTAGATATTCTAACCTATTTTGGTGTTTCTTTGAATCTAAGACTTCTTCCATCTCAAATTCTTCATTATTGTCCACTTTTATAGGAAGTGGTGGCATTTGTCTCTTTCTTTGTATATCCATTATCTTGTATGTCTCAAATAACGACACATGGAACATAAGATGGATTTTCATAGACTCTGGTAGGTATAATCAATAAGCAATTAGATTGATGTGTTCACAAATGGGAAATGGTCCAAACTTATAATAATCCAGCTTGTCACAAGGACAAATAGTTTTAATATTACAACAAAGTAACCATATCTTATCCGCCACACAAAATTGATGTTGTTCCTTACAATAGACATCTGCGTTGACTATTTGTTGTTCCTAAGCTTCTTTTAATTATACCTTTATTATTGCATATAGTTCTAACAATCAATTTGTTACATCTTCTACCGCAAGATTATTAACTTTTGAAAAGTCAAAAGTATCAAATCTTAGATTATAACCTTATTTGGAAAGAAAGATATTTGTTGAATAGAAGAATGTACCAAATTACTATGAACAAACTCTACGAATAGCAAAAGAATTGTCTAATCATCTTGTTAATAGTTGATGGTATCCCTCAAATACTACTCTAAAACTTGATTTGTCCATTCTCTTTGTCCATCAATTTGAGAGTAAAAAGTGGAAGATAGTTTTATATCCACCTTCAATATTTTAAAAAGAATTCTCTAGAATCTCGATAAAAATTGTATTCTTTTGTTTGGTATAATATCCTTTAGTAATCCATGATAGCAATAGATGTTGTCAAAGAAGAGTTTAGCGATTCCTTCACTTATGATAGATTTTATATATGATACAAAATATGCCATCTTAGTGAAAAGATCTACAATCACAAATATGGAATCATAGGAAGATCCGTGATAAAATCCATAGAGACAGAAGATCATATTTGTTCTGGTATAGATAATGGTTAAAGAAGTCCATAAGGTCGATGACAAGGAGTTTTTTATTATGAACAAACATCACATGTCTACACAAATTGTTTAACAGCCTTTTATATTTGAAGCCACTAAAAATTTTTAGATATAAGTTCTAAAGTCTTATTATATCCAAAATATCCTGCCTTATGGAAATTGTGAAGAGCTTCAATAGCACGTAATCATGCTTCTTCTTTTGGAACATATAAACATCCTTCAAAATAGATTAGGTTCTT